TTGCTTACGGTCACGGGTAACACTATAGCTTTTCGTTACGTAGTTGTAGAATTTTTAATGTGTGGTAATTCTAATTTGATAAACGTTATTTTGCGAAATTGGTACAGGATAAAACAATTAATACATGTTTGCCCGTAGGTACAAATGATCACAGAATGAAAGAGATCTGTCTGAGGGACTGTTGGGCCCCATCTTCCTATCAATACATTAGTCGGCGTCCGAATCGCTGGCGTATTCATTGAGCTCGTCTTCATTAGTGCGAGTGGCCCTCATTCGACTAGTCAAAAGCGCAGAGGTCTGAAATTACCTTGTTTTGCATGTTCATCGGCAGATTGAACTGGTTAATCTGGCTAACCTCGGGATCTTTTGCCACTGCCAGTGCTGTCTTGCCTTCATCATTTTCTGCCCAGACATCCACGTCTCGTTCTAAAATTTGGCTGATAATTGTTACTTTTAAGTACCTAGAAGCAATTTAACACACTCGGGATGTCCGCGCCAGGCAGCTGCATGCAGGGCAGTGTCGCCGATTTTGTTCTAAAAAGTTCTCGACGTACTCGAGGATTAGAGACTTACTTTTGCCATAATATTGATTTTGGTGTTTTGTAGGAGATATTTAGTCATTTCCAAATGCCCTCCATGACAGGCCCAATAAAGAGCCGTGGAGCCGGATTTGTCGAGACTGTTTATCGAGACCTAAGATTTCGTGTGCGTTCAAAAATTCTTTTTAAGAAAACCTCATTTTGCAGGCATTCCGTCAAAAACTCGATATTTCCACGCTTTGCGGCCTCGTGGAGAGGATTAGGCAAATGTTCCACCTTTTCACTAACAACTAAAAGGATTGTGTTTGCGTTAGAATCGACAAACCATAGTTAGCAGGGACCAGGCCTTTCTGGCCACCACATCGAGCACTCAGCCAATCGGCATTTGGTCCTTCCTCGGAGACATAGACGAGATCGCCCTCGGAAAACGACATTTCTTGGTCCTAAGGGGGAGAGTGTGCTCCAGAATTCGACGGATCGTACCGAGCGAGCCTGGTAATCATAGAGGGCGCGAAAAACGCGGATGCGCCCGGGTCGTGGTGGACGGGGCGGTGGAGCAGTCATCGACATACCTGAAATGGTTTTAGGTAAGGACGCTTTCCACTGTTTGGCATTGATTTTTTTTGAAGGAAAATAGTGGATTCTGGTTTGTTAGCGGAGGAGCATTTTTTGTCAATAGCGACTCTTCGCTCCCGCTATTTTTAGAATGTTTTCGTCGAAATCTAGCATAGAAAACAGTTTTTTAAACGTATTATTTTGGTTTTTGCTATAACGATTTTAGAAACCAGTCTTTTGAGTTACAACTAAAGCGCTTATAGTAAAACCTTTGATGCTCTACCAGATCTAGTGGAAGGAATCCCGAAATAAAAATTGGTAAAACGTCGAGAAACTGGAACAATGCCCTCCCCATACCCCCCACCCGTTAACAAACCAGCACCGAATAGTTGGCTCTATCCTAATAGCGGGGACCATAGAAAATATCGGGTACCATAGAAAATATCGGGGACCATAGAAAATATCGGGTACCATAGAAAATATCGGGTACCATAAAAAATATCGGGTACCATAAAAAATATCGGGTACCATAAAAAATATCGGGGACCTTGCGAAATATCGGGGACCGAACGCGAATATCGGGGACTTTAAAATCGGCCATATAGGCCAAATTTCGGCCGATCAATATCGTGGACTTTAAAATTTGGACTCGGGCGGGGCTATGGTCCCCGATATTGACCGATACGAAAAGCACCGGAAATTGCCGGAAAACGCCTGCTAAAGCTTGCCAAGGGCGATTCACTGGCTTCCCAAGCGCTAGGGGCTACAGAGAGGCTTACCGTGCCATCTTCGTTGGAGCTTTACTGTCTGGGGTGACTTAACGCTGATGGCGAGGTGATCGTTCTTTGAGCTACAACACTCCACATAAATTTGTAGGCGCCCCAATGTTTTGCCTAGGGAAATTGCCAGTCATTATAGCGCTTTGACCCAAATTCCTAAATACTAGTTCTGGTTACTAGTTAAAAAACCTTGTTAGTTTTTTACGAAACCATCCCTGAATTTTTAAAAAATCATTTTTTTTGAAAATAACTGTTTCCGTTCCACAAAGATATGTAGGCAGGACCAATTCTTGCGCGATTTCCGGTATCTGCATCATTTTTTTCACCTCGAAAAGCATCGGGGATGGTTGCTGGTGGTGCTCTTGCTTCAGAAATTATTTTTCGCAGGGCAGACACAGTGAGCTCGTGATCCAAGACCGAAAAAATCGTGGCATCAAAAATGGTCTGTAGACGGGTTCGTTTTAGTGCAGTGAACGATAATTTCGCCGTGTTACCGAGCGGATGTGCTCCAGAGGAGCCTTCCAACCGGTACACTACGATTTAACCTTTGATAAATGCGCGCACGAGAGGGGGAAGGGGGGTTAGGCTACGCGGCACTCCAAAACCATCGCGTAATGCATTGATAAAGTAAAGGGGGCCAAAATTTTTCATTTTCAACTTGCTGTAGCTTCTTTCTCCGGAGGTTTTCTAAGCGACTTGCGTGATAGGAAAATAAATCACTCTTCGCTCTATCTTTTGTACACGCTTATCCGTCAACCGGACACGCAAATCGGGCGCCCGGTCCGTTTGAAGTTGAAAAATGAGGTACCTTAGACAAAGGGCATCATGGGGAAGCTAAATATTTGCGCAGAGCGCCTCAATAGCATTTTTTAGCAAACTATAGACTAGAAACTATCCAATAAAGTGCAGAAACGTATCCCATTGACATCTACAGCAGGATTCAATAGGAAGTTAGTTAAAATGTACAACTGGCTATAATAATTTTTTCTGGCTGTTTTAGAACCTACTTGAAAGCCAGGAACACAGAACCGACTCAGCTCTATCTGCCGCAAATGTTTTTAGAATGTCTAAGCTTTTTATTTTAACAGCGGTCGATTTGGATATATAAATGAGACGGCTGTTTTTCTTGATTTATTATGCGCGAACGGGGGTGCTAGGATGCTTTTGAATCGTCTAGCGTCATGAAAATTCCATTAGGAACATTTTCCACAAAAAAGCAAAACGAAAATGCGGAGGTCTGCGGGCCCGGGAACCGAACCCGCGCCCCCTGTCTCGGGGCTGAACCGCCGCCTTAGACCACTACACCACGCCCCGACCACCCCTCCCGTGCGCGCTCTGAAAGGCTGTGGGTAGCAGATGCAACTCAAAGCTCAATTGCGCATTTAAAACGCAAAACTCCCTGGACTTGTTCGTGAGCGCATCGTACCCCCGGCGTAACATGGGGCTAAATTCTGCTTATGAGGTCATGTTAGGCGATTTCAAACTAGGTTTGTGTTGTAACATCGTCACATGACCTGTACGGATCCGTACGTAACGCATCGAGCTCGAACCCGCACGAACGTTACGCCGGCGATTTCCCACTGGCAATTTCCCTAGGCAAAACATTGGGGCGCCTACAAATTTATGTGGAGTGTTGTAGCTCAAAGAACGATCACCTCGCCATCAGCGTTAAGTCACCCCAGACAGTAAAGCTCCAACGAAGATGGCACGGTAAGCCTCTCTGTAGCCCCTAGCGCTTGGGAAGCCAGTGAATCGCCCTTGGCAAGCTTTAGCAGACGTTTTCCGGCAATTTCCGGTGCTTTTCGTATCGGTCAATATCGGGGACCATAGCCCCGCCCGAGTCCAAATTTTAAAGTCCACGATATTGATCGGCCGCAATTTGGCCTATATGGCCGATTTTAAAGTCCCCGATATTCGCGTTCGGTCCCCGATATTTCGCAAGGTCCCCGATATTTTTTATGGTACCCGATATTTTTTATGGTACCCGATATTTTTTATGGTACCCGATATTTTCTATGGTACCCGATATTTTCTATGGTCCCCGATATTTTCTATGGTACCCGATATTTTCTATGGTCCCCGCTATTAGGATAGAGCCGAATAGTTTTTAGAAGACGATGCGTGCTGGCTCTCAGCGCGCGTTTTTCAGACAGAGACGGTTGCCTAGAGAGGACCTTTAGAAGAGACTCAGACCCCCAGAGGCAATGGACTTGTGCGAAAGAAGTCAAGCAGTGGCTGGCGACGACGAAGAAAAAGAAAAAGAAGAGATTGTTGTGTGGTGGGGCAATGAGTAAGGGGTGAGGAACGGAAATCAATCGATTGGAGGGCTGCTCTCTCGCTCTCTTTCTCGCTCTCCGTCACGTCGACCCTTGTTTGCCTTGTTGGGCTGTCAGGCCTGCCCCGCGGGTGGCCCGCCTGAACTGCAAAATGGGCGAATAGTGGAACTGATTAGGGGGATGGTGAAAAAATGCAGGAATTTTTTAGGTATAATTTTTCCAAAAAATCCACAGGTTAATTTAACCTAAAGCTAGTTTTTTCCCCAATTAAAAAGGGTTACCTATGCTAAAAAAGTTTTATATAAATTAATTTAATTGATATTTTAATCTGATTGACGTTTCATAGTCGAAAAACTCTAAAACTAGATTGTTTTTGAAATTTTGAGTTTCCGGAAGCGTGAGTTTTAATATACAAGAATTTTCGTAAAAATTACAGAATTCGGTGCTTTCGCATTATCGGCGGATGTAGTTTTTCTGCTATAAATAGAGAAGCTATTTCTAAATCATTTTTACTGTTGCTAAGCGTAAGAACTTTACAAGTTTTTGGTAGAAATACAAAAATTTAGATTTTTCGGGAAAAATGGTCGATTTTCGATAAAATTTCAGGGATTTTTGGATTTGGGGGGGGGGGGATAGGTTTCCACCCCCGCTAATGCGAAAGAACCCAGAATTCATTTACAAAATCTAAAAAAGTTCTTCTAGAGACGACTTCTTTATATTTCATTAAAACAAAATATAAACGATTTATTTTACGTTTGCGATTTTTATTTTCGTGAAATATAAAGATTAAGGCACATAGTCAAATGCTGGTTTTGGCATACTTTACGTCAGTAACCCTAAATTTTTAGGGTATGGCCTTTTTGCAGATTCACACCGGCCATTTCGCCATTGCTCTTCAATGGTGGCGATCATCTGTTCGGCTACACGGCGTGTCATCTGGAGAATGTGCCAATTGGAGGGACACGACAAGACTCTAGCCCGATCCCCCGATAAGAAGACACAAATTTCTGGCGGGTGGCCTACACTCTTCGTCGTGGTGTCCCGGTGGCTGTGCTGCAAAATCAGTAGGTGTGGCTGTGGATTTGAGCGGAAATATAGTTCCCCATCTATTTCAAGGATACATTTCTCGCCCTCCACAACACAAATTCCACTTTTAGGGGAGAGCGTGTGAAAAATGGGTGGGGTGGGGGGAAGATGATTGATGAGAAGTATCAAGGGGCTGGAAATAGATTTGAACACAGATACAGTAGCCCGTTGTTAGGGGATTTTCTGGGGATTTTGCCACGTGATAAAGCTAGATGTGATTTCGTTAAATGGTTTCTTAGAGATAAAAATATCAGAAAAACGCTAGAATTTTCAGTTTTTCGGGTTCCGGTGAGACAGTTTTTCGCTTCCGGAAAGACGACAAGCTCTTTTTTTAGCTTTTAGATTTGCTGCTACAGATTTATGGATTCTAAAAGTTGAGAGCTTTTCAGAGCAGAATATTTTTAGATGATTTTAAAATTAGCGAAAGAATGGGTTTTAGAAAATAGGTAAAAAAATAGCTGAGAAAAAGCGGTTTTACGAGAAAAAGAGGCGTCTTAGGGCTTCACCCAAGCCATCGTTCAGCTAGCTAAAAAATGAGCCAAATTCTTCAAGTTTGATAGTTTTTAAGGCGTAATTAAACAAAACTTAGAAAAGAGCTTTTGTTAAGCTCATTTAGTGTTTTTTATGGACATCGATAAGATCACCGGAAGAATTGAATTCTTAGGATAGGTGCTCGCGGTTTTCTTACGCTCTCTGGCTCGCTCTCTCTCTCTCTCTCTCTCTCTCTCTCGCTCGCTCTCTCTCGTCTCCCTTTCTCTCGTCTCCCTTTCTCTCGACAAAATCAGTTCCACTTTAAAAACCGCCATTTTCAGGCTACAGGAAGCAGCGCTCTTTGATGCCCAACCCCTCTACAAACCGTTCATTTGATTGAAAGGTTCTGCAAAGAAAGGAGCCCGTCTTCAGCTCTGACTCCGATATCTGCTCATATTGCCAAAGTTTGAGCTCTCGACACACTTCAGCACGGGGACTAGAGTGAACTGATCGGAGACCGCGTACCGTATCTATCTCTAGCTGCCCTCTCTTCCTCTCTCTCTCTCTCTCTCTCTCTCTCTGGCTGCTCCAGCTCCGCCCACACCTCCTGACTTCCGTCTGAAAAGCCCCGGGTATTTATCACTGAGCTTGGATGAAATTATTAATTTCGCGAATGCTGATGACCAGGCTGTTTGAGTCGGATTTCGTTTTAAGAGCTAGAAAATTCTGTTTATAGCTTGTGGAACTTGGCAAAAATAAAGCTGCACGTGTTTTTTTGCACTAGAAAATGTAACTAAACGCTAAAAAGAGCTAAAAACCTTTGTTTTGACCCAAAAACAACTCAAAGCGGATGCTCAAATTTTTCATTTTGTGGTTTGTTCAGCGCGTTATCCGTTAAAAGATACCTAAAGTTTATAAAAATAATTTTTCGATATAGCAAAATCTCGCCAACTCCCCGATTTTGCTTTTTTTCTTGTTATTAGTTTTTTTTAATCTTTAAAACCCAATAATTTCGTTTTACAATTTCTAGGCGATGCTCCAATCACTCTGGGATTTCTCCTGGCATTTCTGCAACGGCAACGAGTTCATGATCTTCACCCTATATTCAACGGCGCTCATCACCGTCGTCTATCTGCTGCTCAACATCCCATTTCTCATCATCGATTTTGTACAACCAGCCTGGGTACAACAATACAAGATCCAGGGCAAGAAATATGTAAGTTTTCTCCAAATAGGTAAATTAGTAGTAGGTAAATTAGCGCTACGTTTTTTTTTTATGTTTCCGTTTTTAGTGACAACAGATTTTCCAAACGGGACCAGGTTAGCTTGTGCAGAATTTTGCGCTGATTCCGTTTCTCTGGTTTCAAAATCTGCGAAATCGACAGATCAAAAAAAGTTATGGAGCCGTTTAAAAACTAGTTTTAGTTAGAAAAAGGCATAAAATAGTCCGAAAACGGTCCAAAATCGTCGAATTTCGTTAAATGGCCTTTTTTGGCACAGAAAAGCCTTATGACTTTTTTAATCCGAGGAGATTTTGAAAAGAGATTCTGGATGCTCTCAAAATTCTGCACAATATAGGCCTGGCCCGTATGAAAACACAAATGTCACAAAAATATTTTCTTTTATCTTGAAAACCCGATTTTTCTCCACTTCCGGGTTTCCGTTAAACACCAAACCTCACCAATCTTCTGATCGTAATCAGTACCGTCGTGACGGCGCCTTTCAGCGCCACGGGGGGATTGCAAGAACAGGGCGCGTATCCTTTCAAGAAAATGCCAATCACGAACGTTCAAGATCTGAAGTGGGGGGGCATAGTGCCGCTTTGTGAAGCCCCCCTCATGTCATCGCTTATCAGCTAAAAAGAACAAAGGAGCAACCCCCGAGGATCGGATTAATATTAAGTGTTGCAAGCCGGTCAGAATACGGCTCGGTATTGAAAGTGTGCACTATAAGAACAGAAAATTGATGCTGGTTCGTTAGCGGGGGTGGGACTACATAAATTTTAAAAAAAAAAAAAAAAAAATATAAAGTATTTTTCTGTCATTCCTCCCTTTTTAACGAGCAAAAGGTGGTGCTTTGGCATTAGCGGGGGCGGGTAGCAACTTGTTGCTTAGGATCCATTTTCCAATATCACAGAGCAATTGTTTCTAAACTGTTGATTGTTTCTAAACGTGAAAACTACAAACTGTTAGAAATACAAAGCAATTCGAGTTCCGCCCAAAATTTCAAATTTCCTAAGTTTTTTTCGGCCATGTTTCCACCTGATATAGTTAAATTCTACTACAAACACTATTAAAAACACCTAACTAGGCAATTTTGCGCAAACAGCAAAAAACTAGGCCCCCTTAAATGCCAAAACTCCAAAAAAAAACTTAGAAAAACTCTAAATCGTCGCAATTTTTTGGTCAAAAAGTATTGCAAATGGCTAGAGCAATTTTTAGAAAGGTCTAATGGGCTGAATAAAGGAAGGCACCCCTCCCCCGCTAAGGAAACAGTACCGAAAAGTTTTACAGGTGACATGGCAGAAATACTCATCGACATTCCCCCTAATTGCATTCAACACGACCGTGGTGGCCGCGTCCGTTTCGACAATTTTCTACGTATTGGGCAGATATACTGGAGTTAGCTTTTCGAGGTTTGCAAAGTCGCTTTTCTAAAAAATCCCTTCGTTTTTAGAGAAGTCCCTTCCCTTTTGATAATACTGCGTGATCTCATCTTCTCGGTGCTCATCGAAGAACTGGGTTTCTACTATACACATAGGTAAAACCTATTTTTTTAATTTTATTGCTTTTATGCGAGGTAGCGAAAAAACGATTGAACTTTTTTCAGACTTTTCCACCAGCCCTTCTTCTACAAAAGGATACACAAAATCCATCACAGATGGACGGCGCCAGTTTGTAAGTGACTTCCAAGAAAGCAAGCAATTCTCCGCATTTCCAGCGATAACTAGCGTCTACTGCCATCCACTGGAGCACGCAATTTCAAATCTTATGCCGATTATGCTAGGTTTGTAGGAATATTAATTTCCTGATCTATAAAAACTAAGGCTTATACTTTACTGCATTAAAAAATACTAAAAGTAAGCCTAAAACCAATCCTTTAGGCCCAACTCTGATCGGTGCCCACATGATCACGTATTGGATCTGGTACATAGCAGCCGTAACATCAACCACATTTTCTCACTGCGGATATGACTTCCCAGTGCTCCCCTCAGCCACCCAACACGATTATCACCATGAAGCGTAATTGCCGCTAAAGTTTCAAATATATGATTTCAGGTTCAACGAAAACTTTGGCGTGCTCGGGATTTTGGACACCCTCCACGGCACGAATAAAATCTACCGGAAAAAGCTTGGACTGGCCACTGGCACCAAAACTAAATAATTTTATGTCAATATCGATGGGCATAAACTGATATTATCGTTTTTAATGCCGCACGCAACATTCACGCCTGTCAGAGGATGAATTTTCGATCAAGGATAAAAAATTGACAAAATCATCTTTCCTTTTTCCCTAGTTCTCCAAAACTCTAACAGACTACATTTTCCCCTTCTAGCTTTATCTAATTCTTTCAAATACTAATAGCATTAATTTTGCACTTTTACAACTTTTTTTTTGATAAATTTTTGCAATTTGAGGTGCCGTAAGGTCCAATTTACAAAAATGTGAGGTGAAATGAAACGGACCGACTTTGATTGCTAAAACGTGGCTAATACCGTAACGAACAAACACCTCACAGAAACTTCTTCCGAATTTTGGCCAATTCTTTTTTGACCTCTTTTTTGCGCGCCTGTCCCTGCGGAGGCTGCATATAACCGCCTGCTAAACCGTGGACCGGCTCGCTGGCGCTACGATAGGCCATAGGCCGCAGAGAGGAGCCGCTATTTTATCGACAAAATATTTCTAAATTCCCTTTTTCTGCCGTTTTGGCAAGTTTAAATTGGCTCTTTTCGAACTCTATGCTTCCTCCGTGCGCGTTGCTTGTTGTTTTCTTGTTTTCCGCCTCTTTCAAAGCTCTGGATAACGTATTTTTTTCAGTAACTAGGGTCAGAATGACGGAGGGCACGAAACTCGTTCTACCCGCCGGGCAAGCCCCCACCGAGATCGAGAAGCAGATCGCCGGCTCGTTGACTGATCTCGAGAACAGCAAGGACCTACGCGGACAACTCCGTGAGCTCTACATCGTCGGAGTCAAGGCAAGTTTTTCCCGCATTGGAGCTGTGGGTGGTCTGGCGTGCGTTTTTTTTGCTGAAACTTCCTAGTAAAGGGACCTAGATGACGCTTGTCCTAAAATTTAGTATTGTTCTGTTTCTTGCCTAGTTTTACCCTAATCGACGCATTTCTTTGGGTGCGCTTGGGTCCAAGGCAGCGGCGCTTTGTGCTTATCTGTCTGGGCAACCTTTATTTTCTTTTTTTAGGAGATCGACCACGGAAACAAGAAGATCGTCGTCGTCTACGTTCCCTTCCCGCAGCTCAAGCTCTTCAACAAAATCCAGGTTCAATTGATCCGCGAACTGGAGAAGAAGCTTGGAGGCAAGCACGTTGTCTTCATCGCGAAGGTAACAATTCTCCGGTTTCCTGCATACTTGTTTTTCTAGCGACGCATTCTGCCCAAGCCCCAACGCGGAAACAAGAGGATCCCGGAGAAGCAGAAGAGGCCGCGCTCCCGAACCCTTACGGCCGTTCACGAGGCGATCCTCGAGGACATCTGCTTCCCCGCCGAAATCGTCGGCAAGAGGATCCGAGTCAAGTCTGATGGCAAGCGCATCATCAAGGTATTTTTTCAAACCTATCTACTTTGGCCATTTGTGCTAAGCCCGTCTACGCGCCTTTTCGGTTCAGGGTCCACGGCCTATCCAGTTGGGCTGGTAAACTGGGTCCTTGTAGTCGTTTTGGTTTCGTCGCTATTCTTTCACACCCCAGGAGACTATGAGGAATCTATGCTCGCCCACAAACTATTCTTGCCCATCGAACAGTTCTTGGACGTTAGCAATTCACGCCAGGCATTTGATTTTGAATTGGAAACGTAGCTACGTTTCCACTTCAAAGTCCGGTACAAGTCCCTCCACCTCGGCATTTCATAAGCCAGATGCAAAATAATTTTCTTGTCGAGGAAGCCCTGAACCGAACCTCTGCTCGTTAATATCAAAAACTTTGCGCTAAAGCAGCGCATCCTTTCCAGTCTTCCCCAAATTTTATGCCTAGGTTTTGTAACTATTGTCGACTTTGTTTATATATGTTCTTTTCAGTGCCACCTCGACAAGCAACAGCAGACCAACGTTGAGCACAAGGTCGACACTTTCACCCACGTTTATAAGAAGCTCACCGGAAAGGATGTGACATTTGAGTTCCCGGACCCCCTTTTTGCTTAATTGTTTTTGTTGAATAAATTGTTATGAAGCCGTACATGCTGCCTTGCTTGGGGATGGGGTAGTGCGGGGGAACAGCATAACGGCGCTACGACATGGAGGGCGGGGCGTCAATTTTCCGCGCGCTGGGCCCCAAGCCTTGGAGGCAGACTCGACGTTTGCTGATCGAATTTGGGCACCGATTGTTCTAAACAACATCTGTGGTGCCTCAAAGCTTCTCCCTCGTAGTCCACCGTTTGGCTACAGTCTGACTCACCCACGGAAAATAATCGCGTGGATGATCCACTGGTTCGCACCGCGTCGCCAAGACAAATAACGCCCATATTTATGGCGCGTCTGTTGCGCGTAAAAAAGCTCGGTTGTATAATTTCGGGTCCTCGCGCCGAGTGTCTTTTCAATCGTGATCGGTTATTTCAGGAACAATGTACGAGAATGGCTGAAGATTGGCGCTGATGGGACGGATTGAAGCACTTCTGCTACTGGGTATTCCAGTATTTGGGCTCGTCGCCGGCCAGTCTGGTGGGTTTTTTGTTGTGGTTGTCACGAGCAGATAATCGTCCGTTTTTTTCTTTTCGACATCCGCGTAAGGGGAGTAGGAAACGGTTATTGGAGATGAGATGGATGGGGAGCCATTTAGCCTTCACCCGCCATGGCCAGGGCTTTAGGGGGCAGTTTAGCACTTCAGAAAGCGCGGAAAGCGGAAAAATAAGGTTAGATTTTCCCAAGAAGCAGTAATCTGGCTAGGATTTTGTCTGTGTCCCGTTTGGCACGGGCATATTTCTTGAGTTCGTGCACAGGGGGGCTTCACCCAGGGGACCCAGGCGCGCGCTCCTTTTTGGGTTTAGCACCAATTTTCACGCGGGATGATAGATGGGATTTTAAAAAGCGAGCAGGGCGCACTAGCCAAAATTGAACCGGAAATCGGGCAGTTCAGGAGGGCCAGGTGAACGGACATTTATCACACTTTCGGGGCGGCCCGGTGTGGGTTTTGGGGAGGTCTAATTGCCCCTACGAAATCTTGGATCACGTAGGTAGGGTAGCTGCCGCTTTGAAATCTGGAACCTTGATAGCCGGAAACAGCCAGCAGCCTAGGCGTGCTCTAATTATTTGCACCCCAGGTAGTAGGTGAGGCTTTTCGGGGGGGGTAGAAGGGCCACCGGAGGGCCCCTTTTGGCACCAAATTAAGAAATTAGGACACGGGGCCATGGGTTTGGCCCTGGTTGCTGACAGATGCAGCGGGGCCACCACCCCTAGCAGCGCTTCCCCGCCAATTTACGGAAATTAGCGCTGATTTGATGGATTTCGGGGTCCGAAGATAAGGTTGAAATTTGGGGGTTCTAGATATGAGATTTACTAGCAGCTTTCTTGTTATCGGGGGGGGGGGGGTGCGGGACACATTTGTTCTGTTTAAACTCGAAGAGGTTTTCGACACTTTTTTAATATTCCTAAACGGAAACACTTTACAAACGAGCATGAACGAAAATAGAAAAAAAGGTTTTCGACTAAATTTTCAATTTAAAACCTTTATCGAATTTTTAGATAGTTTTTATGTTTGAAATATTGTTAAAATTTTACTAAAAACCCTATCAAGTACTTGAAAATACGCTACTAGGTCGATCTGGGTGCAACTAAAATCCCCTCCCCCGATAATAGAAAAACACCCCTCGATAAAAATTTCAATTGTAAACATTGTTGCAGCTTTCTAGATAGTTTTACGCTTGAAAATTCTTTTGCTTCTGCTAAAAACTAGGAATATAGCTGCGAATACGCTACTAGGGAGATCTGGACCTACAGACAAATTACCCCCCCCCCCCCCGATAATACAAAAGTACCCTTTGAAACACATGGAACCTTCTAAAGTGTCATTTTCTTCTCAAAATGATACGATCTCTCCTTCGGCCTCGCTAACCGGGTCGAATCCACGAATTTCGGGGGGCCCAACGGCGTGCTGATTGAGCCTTTGAAACCAGGGACGGGCCTCCTCGCCGCGCGGGGAGTCTGAGGCCCAGGCGTGCATAGGTGCGTAATGGAATCAGGGATGGGCTTCCTTCCCGCCCAACAGACAGAGCGACATCTCTTCGCACCTCTACAGCCCATCACACGTCCATTCACGGGGGCTCAAAAAGGACCTCGCAACATTTTCGGAGGCCTGAAAAGTGGATGACCATCGGGGGAATCTCGAATATTCTAGCGTTGTTTTCGGGGGTGGCTTTGACGATGTGGGAGGACTGAAAACCCTGCGAAGGAAACTATAAAAGATACTTTGGCATTGTCGGGGGGATTTTCCTAGACCACCAAATATGCGAATTAATGCACTTTGTCGACGAGGTGGGCATTGTCGGGAGTGCGGGTTTCCTAGCGCGCCAATATGCGTACTTACATATGAAAAATATATTGCAACAGGACTGGTAAAAGCTTTCTGAAGTTTTTGTGGGAAATCGCCCATTTTGGCGCAATCTAAACTATTACCTCCCCCCGCGATAATGCATAAGAACCGAATAACAGAGTAAAATTCTATGAAAAATATCGGGATCTAAGGTAATAAAGTATACTTTAGAAGACCAAGTGCCCGGAAGGCCCGAGCACGTGCACTTCAAGACTAGTGCAAATTCGGCGACACTTTGGTGGGAGCAGCCAGCGAATGCCGATACTATCCTGGTTCGAGGGTAAAAATATTTGATTAAAGTATTGAATACTATTTAATAGGAAATAGAACAATATTTTTATATATCCAAATTTCTTTAGATACGCGGTCTCCTATGGCATCGGCACGCCGAGCAGCAAGATTGTCATCGAGGGCGCTGACACGAATTCGTTTACGATCGATCGATTAAGTAGGGTTTTGGGAAGATTGGAAATATAGAATTTAGGATTTTCAAAGGTTAAAAAGGTTATCCAAAGCTTTAATTTTTATTTCATTTTTTGTGCATTAATTTGGTGGCTTACTTTCGTGGCTTAATTCATCCGAAATGCTTCTAAATCTAAATTTCTTTTTTTATCAAAACCTTCTGGTTGAAATTGTCGGATTTTTTATTACCTAGAAGGTTGTTTATTAGCAAAAGTTTAAATCTATAATTTCTTTTAGAACCCGCCACGCACTACGTCTTCGCCGTCAATGCGTATAATGAAGCGGATGGTGAAGATGGGGAAAAAGTGCTTTTGAGTGGAACGACGCTCGATGGCGAGAATGGTAGGGTTAAGCTTTAAAATCACCATAAACACGTCTATTTAGGCAATAAGGGCTCCTTCTCGCTGTGGCCACCCATTGCCGTGCGCGCCAGCGCGAAAGAACGAGCCGTTGAGGTGGGATTTTATAGCTATCTAGCCTGTATATAGTACAAATTTGTCGTTTTATAGTGTTTTCAGTAATTCGCGTTTAAAAAAAAACTTATAAAACACTTTGAAGGATTAAAATTAAATTTTCATAGATTTTTCACCAAAATCCAAGGTTTTCCGTGATGTTCATAATTTTCTTAACGAGATTTTTATACTTAAATAGGCCGTAATAATAAATATGTTTGTTTAAAATTTCCACAGTACGAATTTCGATATTTTGAAAGTAGTCCTAAATTTTCAGGTAAACTGGGAAGACCCAAACCCAGAACGAGCCGAGGAAAACCGATTGGACGGCAATGGAAGACATTACATTGTTCAGTACGTAGCTTTTGTTATTCATCCATCACTTCCGGTTTTTAGATACGGTCTCTACCAGTCGGAGCGCCACGAAAAAATTCGGGCGAACACCAGGCACATGAAGCTGGTGAATCTGCTGCCCGGGCGAGAGTATGAGGTGGCCGTCAAGGTCAGGGAGTGTATTATAAAGAAAAGTTGTTAATTATAGGAAATCGTAGCTAGATAAAAAGTATAATAAACTTAGCTTTATTGGTTATAACGTAGCGTAAAAAGTATGAAAAGCTATTAGGTTTAAATTGTAGAAAATGAGTGCTTTTGCATTATCGGGTGGACTAACTTTTTTATTAGTATCCATTTATCCAATATAAAAAAAAGACGTATTTCTATACTGCTTTTACTATTACTAAACCCAAAACGTTACAACTTTTATTAGAAAAAATACAAAAATATGGATTTTTCGACCAAAAGAGTCTAATTTTAAAAGTTTTTTTCAGAGGTTTTGCTCTTGCACAGCTTTGCTCTCTTTTTCACCTGAAATATGGTTAAATGTTACTAAAATCACTATTAAAATACTTGCTATTAAGTAACAAGGCATTTCCGGAAAAAATTCAAAAACCGAAGTTCTGTAAGCTTAATTCAAGTATAAAATCCGTCCCCCCGATAATGCGAAAGTACTGAAAATGGCAATCTTAAAATATACTGAAAAAGGTTTAGTGTATAAACTATAGGTTTAACGTATAATTTTTGATGCCAATTTTCAGGTAATTGACGGGAATGGCCGCGAATCCCCCTGGAGCATCCGCGACATCATTCTCACCCCAAAAGGTGCTCAATTTTAATTGTATTTTTGTTAGTTATTTTCTATCTTTTTAATCTCTTATTTTGTGATGAATTCCAGTCCCGTATTGGTATCGAAAGGGGCACAAGCAGCCAAATCGGGGCAGGTTTTGCTTCTCCCCCCCGCAAAGAGAAAAGAAAAATAAGGCAGCTTCTCGATGTTGTGGCAATTATTTTGAAGCGAGCTTTAGTAAAGGGTACTGAACTGTTGGCAGGGGGAACTAATTTTAACCAGTAATCATGCACGGTTCTATAACAAAATATATAACTTTTTTACAGCATTGTAAACAATTTTTAGATATAAAAAGCTCACAAAAATGAATTTTCCAAAATGTTTGAGTTTTGGTCAAAAAGCCCGAATTTTCGAGATTTAAAATGTTTATAATATGTTTTGTAACTTTCTAGAAATCGAAAACGACGAAAAACTTAATAAAATAATAAACCTTATTTTTTATTTACAAATAGGTATAGACGGAAATAGTCTTCCCCGCTGCTGAAAATCCCCCCTGCTAACAGTCCAGTACCTAAAAGGGTTCTTTAGGATTCCCGGGGGAAAGTATTCCCGGGGAAAACAAATTTTTTTCGGCGAAAGCCTAGATTTTTGTATAAATTGCAGATGCGTTTCTAAACTGTTTTTAACTATTCCTGTGCATAAAACTACACACATTTTAACTAAAAATGTAAAAATTAAAAAATTAGGTCGAAAAAATAGACCCAAAATGACCAAATTTTCGACTTTTTTCAAACAATTTTCTAAATTTTTCTGAAAGTTATTCTGCTTACAAATATACTTGGAAACTTACTAAAAACAATTCGAAAACACTTTATATTTGATTACTAGGTCAATGGAAAACCAGGAAAAAATTGGTTTCCCCGGGAATACTTTCCCCCCGGAATCCTAAAGAACCCCTAAAGGGCTAAAATAGATATAAAATACCCTTTTTAGGTGGTAAGAGCAAGAACGAGACGAAATACGACTGGGCCTGCCGATTTGAGAAGGATGTTTGCGGAGTGAAGACGGCTGGGGAGGGTGATACCGGGATGGGCGAGGATGCGGGCCAATGGGCATAAAGCTGGTATGAACTTTTTTTAATTGTTTTTATGTTTTTAATTTTAGTTTAAATTGTTTTTAAATTGTTTTTAGGGACCCACGTGATGGCGGTCGATCCATCGGCTTCACCGGCCAGTCATTCTGCTCTACTCGTCTCGCCTACGTTTACCGAACTACAGAATTCGCACAGCATTTGTTTGAGAATGTCGCTATGGGTTCGGGCTGGGAATAGTGATGGTAAGAGGAGGAATATATTTATTTTACAATATATATATTCATATGTGGTTTTTTCGTCGGTGCTTTTGCTGGCTGGAAACGTAAAAAGCTTTAAAAATATTGATTAACACTAAAAATATCGGTTTTCCGAAAAAAAATCGAATTTTTAAAGCTTTTAAATCACTACAAATACGCTTTTCCAGCCGTTCTTCCGTTTACCTGGAAGACGAGCGAACATCGATTCGAGCCGAGGTGTTGTTGCGTGCGAAGCCGATCGGTTTCCGCGTGACAAATGGGCGGATGTTAGGCTTAATCTGAAGAGACAGAAAGAGCCATTCAAGGTAGGGAGAACCCTTGGAAAAAAGTTTAAAAATACACAATTTTTGGTCGAAAACTTTACTTTTTTGCGTTTTTTTAAGAAAATTTATAAAGATCTTACTTTAGAACAGCAAGAAATCTATATAACGAGATAAATCGTTCTAAATGTTTAGGTGATCGTAGACCTTCGATGGCGCGCTGATGCTACGTGGACAGCGCTTGACTCGATCTCAGTTTCAAGCGGTGTCTGCACCGATCGAGTCGGAATCCGACTTCCGCCGTATACAGGTAGGCTATAAACAACGATAGCTAAGTGATTTTTTTGGCGTCCACTCTTTTATAGCTATTTTTCGCTGCTTATAAATTATTGTGGGCCAACTTTTTCCCCGAATCCAGTGTTTTAAAAATTTTTCTAATAACAATAAAAAAGTGTCTTAAACCATTTTTAAATATTCCTAGAAGTGAGAAGTTAAAAATATTAAAATATCGATTTTCCATCGGTCAGGACCCGAATTTTCTATCAAAATTTCGAATTTTTAAACGTTTTTCAGATAGTTTTCCACTCGATATATAGTTTAAGTTCACTAAGAACACTATTTAAATACAATGCGTTTTGAACTTATATTAAAAATACCCCCCCCGACAATGCAAAATAATCCTTTTAACGAAGTCTAAAAGTCAACAGCCGTTGCCTGGCTCGTCAAACTCCGAAAATCGCCACTTTCCCGCCCGGGTTTTGGGGTCCATTTGAGAAATGGGCCAAAAAGGGGGTGAAGTCGTTCGAAATGGTGTTGGAGGGAAGAGTGGTCTCTTGGGGATTCGTGATATTGGAGGAGTTCTC